TTCAGACCCATTATTAGAGTGGAAAATATTTCCCGGAAAATCAAGTTTTGCATTCACTTGTTTAAGCAAGTCGAGAACAATAATACTGTCAAAATCCTTAAGAACACTAAGAATGAAAAATGGTAGTCTTAATAGAGTCTTCTGCGCCCATGTCATTCTCTACTTCCGTGGCGCATGCTTGCGTAAAAGAATCGGATTTTCCTTCATCATGGTTTTCCGCGGGCATAAAGTTAATTTTCTGTTGGGTTCGTGCTGACTACCCTGTTTTCCAAACTGTGGGCTGTCTAAAACGGGATGAGGTGTCGACCTTCATTCGCTCCGCCTTTGGTTAGCTCTGCGTGTTTCCCGTATAACTATATGGTCTTTGTTAAAAAAAAAACCGTGCTGATAATTGCTTTCCTTTTGGCTATGCCAAAGTATGGGGTCTTCCAATTCTTCCAACCTGCCTGCCGCTGGTTGTTTTGCTTATTCACCTTTTTTCGCTGTGTCGCGCGAAACAAGCCGTTTGGACAAAATAAGAAGGAAAAATACTGCCTCTTACTTCCAAAAATTAAGCTTTTTTACTGCTTAGGTTTGAGGGCGGGACGTCTATCGGAAATTATCGACTTAATGAACACGGTCTCCCATTCATGGATCCACCAACACACAAAAATCACAAAAATCATAAACATTTGAATATATTATTTTAAATTACCCTTATTCGCACGTGATTTGTTCTACGAATGCTGGTCACAACCGGAGACCAACTCTAACGCCAGAATGGAGGCCATGTTCGAGAGAAGAAGTTATGGGTCAAATGACCCAAATGATCGCCACTGTCTGCAACTCCTTATGCAAACGGGACTAGACGTCACAATTTGGAACGTCAACGGTCTGGTGAAAAGCAGGCCAGCAGGGGAGCTCTACTGCAAAGCTGAAAAAGCCGATATTCTCCTCATATCGGAAACCCATTTTACAAACAGATCCTATCTAACCCTCAGAGGATACGACATTATTGCTGTCACCCACCCATGCTACAGGCGCTCCGACCTACTGGCCAACCGATCCATCGAAGATCCCAGATGTCCTGGACTTCGCCATCATAAGATGACTGGACTCGGCCGGAATCCAGGTACGAGAAGTCGCCGACCTTATTTCTGACCACAGCCCTCTTGCCGTCTCCCTGTACACGCCAGCTATCCTAAGATCGGGCCGAAAGAAGCTTATTTATAAGACGACGGACATCGAAAAATTCCAGTCCTAGATGTGCTCTGCCACGAATCTTAACACAACTCTGAAATCCCCCGACCAGATTGAGGCGGCCGTCGAGGAACTGACCCCACAAATCCAAGCTGCGGCAGCCAAGGCAGCTCCGAGGATTTTTTTTTTTGGAATCCAGACGTCACGGCTCTCAAGCTGGAAAAGCGGCGACTCAGGCCGTCTCCAAGTGGCCCTTTGAACTCTTGGCGGACTTTAGAAAGGAAGCATTCGACGGGTTCGTTAAATAGTTGGAACCGGATGACCCACAAATACAATTTGTGGCGCGTCACAAAAAGCACACGACGTCCTCTTAAGAGGATCCCATCTATTCAGCGAGCCGACGGCAGTTGGTGCAGGTCAGAGACGGACCGAGCCAACGCGTTCGCCGAACACCTGCAAAGCGTATTCAACTCTTTCTACCGCTGCTCGCCAGAAGAGGCAGCAGAAAATGAACGACTCTTGGCGGAGCGCGCACAAGGCGACGACAGAATACTACCTGTGACGAAAGAGGAAGGCAGCCGTCCAGATTTCAGTGTTGAGCAACAACAAGGCCCTGGGCGATGATGGCATCAATGCAACCACATTAAAACTGCTGCCATCTCCAAACATCAAGATACTGACGAAAATTTACAATAGATGCTTAGAGATTGGGTACTCGAAAGAGTGTTTTTGAGTAGAGCATTGATCACCAATCACCAGTTTAACTTCAAGTGGTCCCACGGAACTCTGGAACAATGCCACAGAGTGGTGCAGTATATCCTGCACGCCTTCAAAACCAAAAAGTAGTGCCTGGCTGTAATGCTGGCATCAAACAAGCCTTCGACCGGGTCGGTTTTCTCTCCGTCCAGGAAATTGCCCACGGGTCCAACTCAACAGCTCCCCCATCCCAGAAAACCCAAGAAGGAAGCCTCACCTAGTCAAAAAACGAAAGCAGTGTGAAGTAAGATTAAACGCGTACTAATCTGCAAGACGATTTTTCGACCAATTTGGACATACGGGACCCAACTTTGGGGCACGGCCAGCACGTCTACCACGACAATCTCTTAGTTCGTTGCCTCCGTTGCCGAGCTAAGCAACAAAAATGGCATAGGCACTTTGTTTTTCTATTTTATTAGAAAGTTTTATAATTTTAACAATAAAGTTTTATTATTTTTTTCTATTGATATATTTTATTTCTAAATTGTATTTTATTTTTGCATATTTCATGAATACTCTTATACCCTTGCAGAGGGTATTAAAATTTTGGTCAAAAGTGTGCAACTCCGAAGTGTACAAAGGAGGCATCTCCGACCATATGTAGCAGTGGTCCACTGATATAAAGTATATATGCGAGGTGTGTTCAAAAAGTAAGGTGACTTTTAAAATTTTATGGGCAACACATTTTCGATTATCGATTTTTTTGTTTTGTTATGTTGGTACACTCTTCCCTAACATCGGCAACAAGTTTTAATTGAATCTCCTTTTTTGTTTGGTTGTGAGAGGCATAAAGGTTACAAGTTGTTTTGCGTGCTCGGCGATTTTTTTCTATCAAAAAATATGGATCAAGGGATTTTCATCAAATTTTGTTTAAAAAATAAAATTAAGTGCTCCGAAACACTTGACATGTGGGCAGTGGCATACGGTGAAACTTTTCTGAGTAAGAAAAAAATGTTTACAAGTGGTACAAAGTGTAGGGTTTATCCTGATACTCCTGGCAGGATCGCCATGTAGTAATTTATATCAGGCAATTATAATACGTAGTCCGGTTGTTTTTATTAAGGAGCAGACGTCAGCCTGCTCCGATCAATCTTTATTGAATGAATTCTTAGCTTTTGCGCTGTTCACTGATTAGTAAGCAGCGCTTACATTATTTTGTTTTAGCTCATTATGTACAGCAACAGGAACGTTGCTGACTAGCTGAGAAAGTTATGCGCGCACATACATATGTATACACAGCGCCGGACAAGCGTGGGAACGCTGACTTAGCTATTGGGCGGTCGCTGTTATTCAAGTGCGAATCGTATTTCGTCTGCTCTTCAGCATGTGCAGAGGGCACTTAGCGCTGCGACAAAGTCGCTGGTTATGTATGATTTCTGTTGGCATAATAACAAAGTATTGCAGCCTTATTTATATGTATGTATGTATATCAGTGGGGGGCAAAACGAACACATTTTTAAAATTTGAGTGTATGCGTAACACAGAAAAACAATAAAGCAGAGAAGCAGCGAAAAAAACGTATTTTTTTTTTCATTTTTCTTTAATTAAAAAGTTGGCACTAAATGGGCACTAAAATAGTTTATTTTATTTTAAAGAAAGCTTTGCTACCTATGTATGTTCTCCATAAAGAAAACTTTTTGCAACCAAATTTCTGAAAAGATTTTTCTCAGTGGAAACATTTTGATTTTTAAGTTTGGGCTGTCAAATGTGTCAAAATGAGAGCAAATGAGAGGGCTTCTAAAAAATTTGAAAGTGCTCACACTGTCAGTGTCCCGGCAGCGCACAAATGCTATGGAAAATGAGAGTTTGCGCCCTACTGCTTTAAAGACAGATATTCTCACACTGGATATATTATATATTGGATATTTTTTCACTTTTATTTTTATTTTCTGCTATTTTCTTTAAGTTAGAGTTATAGCCGAATAAAACTTTTAAACCAATTAAACTTTTTTTGGACTTTTATTTCGAAGTTTTTTTCATCTTCTTTTTTTATGAACTTAACTCGGGTGTATTCTTTTAACTTGTTGGGCGATAGTTATCCAATAATTGTGTCTTGTTTCAAGGTTGAATATAAATCTTTATTAAACAGTTATTTCGCCCAAGTCCGTTAGCGTTAGGGTAACTAATATTGATATATTAATAATATAAAATATTAACGCGACCTAAGGCTGCGGAATTCAGCTTGAGACTGAATTAAAATACTACCCCAGCTGTACTTCGAGACCTTCGTTGGACTGCAGCGCAGTCGCCCAGTTGCTGTGTCAGAAGTCCGCATCCGGCCTGCAAGGAATACTTGTTGCACTAGTGCTCGGGCTCATCCGCAGACAGTTGCCCTCGGAATGCGTGGAATGCTTTTCCCAAATTTCCCAAAACACTAATAACATTTTTAAATTTGATATATATTTAAAAAATTAAGATAAAATTAATGAAAAATTCTAGGTCACCTAGCCCGCGGCTTTTACCTCTTTTGAAGCGAAATTGGAGTTGACGAAGAGCTTGAACTTCTCGTATTCTTCTTTGAAATGGATCACGTCTAAAAGATGTGAATTAACCAGATGCACAATTGAAATTTCTTCGTAAACGGCTAGTATTTTGATAACAAAATTTTAATATCCACCACCTTTTTATCGTTATTTAATCTGACTTTGATATAATCTGGAATATGTGTCAGTCTCCAGAATAACAGTGGTAAGCTTAGAATAAAATGTATATTTTAATGGTTTCAAAATGTTTAATTTCTTAGTTTTTTAAAATCAAACAGAGAATCAAGTGCACTGACTTGCAAAAAATTTAATTTGAAAACTAGCGGTTACTTTGCAAACTTCTGCTATTTTTCTTTGCATCCCACATTATAAAAAAATGAAAGGTTCACAACTGAAACCTAGTTTAAGCAGAAAGTATCAAGCTCCAGGCAAGTAAACTATTTTTGGACGACTCAATATGGATGAAAAAGTGAATATGGGAAATCTAACCATTTTAAAAAACTTAATTAGATGGAGTTATGGATTTTGTGGAAATACATTTTTATACTTCCTAATTAATAAAAATAAATGGAATTTTCTTACCATCACAATTCATTGTTTCCGCATTGAGTGTATATCCAGTTCCGCAACTTTGAAGACGCTGTTAATGATACGTAAGATAAATTTTAAAACATTATTATGACTACGATCGGAAGAATCCGAAGCTTGCATGTTTCTGAAAATCTTTAAAGATACAAATTTTTTTTAAGGCACTCAAAGATAAAATATTTGCATTTACTAAGGTGACAGATTAAAATATAACATTTACGCAATAATTATAAAAAAAGATATATGAAGCCTGTCAAGGCTAAAGAGTTCTATTTTTTTGTTTTTTTTTTTTTCGCTGTATTTCAGAATTTAAAAAAGGTTTGTGCATCAATAAGAGCATCAGCTATCATTCCTGTATTCATCATAAAGCTTAGAGGCCCAGACGACCGAGGGGTGCTCGAGAAACGATTTGTTAGTATATATTAAGCTATTTGTAATTTATTAAGCTAGGAGGAGTAAGTAAGAAAATTTAAAATTCTATATTTTAAATTTGAGGGACAGGAAAGAGATGTTATAGAGTAGAGACCATTGTAGTTCGAACATAATACCCTAAAACGGTCATGCAGTGCATATATCGAACTACAATGGCTAAGGAATAGAGGACTAAAGTTTTGAGTCCTTCTATTAGGAATTTTAAATTTTAAGCGTGTTAGTAAATGCTGGCTATCTACACCCCCGTTAATAAGGTTATGCAGAAAGACTACACCGAGCATTGTCTGGGCCTCTAAGCTTTATGATGAATACAGGATTGCTAGCTGATGCTCTTATTGATGCACAAACCATTTCCAAATTCTAAAAGACCGGGAAAAAAATCATAAGTATCGATAAGGCTATTAAGTTTGTGAAAGTCAGCTAAACGGAAACAGCGAATCTTATTTACCACGCATGAAGACATCGGATCGATACCAGGAACGGTTTCCAATAAGACCTCCAGCGTGGGGTGATACGGATCCTCTGGGGTTGAAAGGGGAAAAGCTCTGGAGAGAGCGGTACCATCAGGATCAGATACAAAACATAAGTCTAAAAGCCGACCTAACGAATTTCTTACATGGTTAATCTGACCTAGGGACATGTCAAACATGCCCGCGGTGAAATCATGGTTCGTAATAAGTGACAAAGATGGTGAGTTATCGACGTTGGACTACTTTAATTCTGGGATATTAAAGTCACCCACAGCTACGAGCTGGTCACGATCAGTCATAAGATTAAAAACGGATTGAATAGCGGACAAATGCTGCCAATATGTGAGCGGTTCGGACGAAGGCGGCATGTAATGTATAGAGATTTCGAGGACAAAATGATTTTAATGAAAATAAATTCTATGTCACCAAGCTTTTGAGATTTCACCTCTTCAGAAGCAAAAGTGGAGTCTACGAAATGAGGACTCCACCCCCCTTTGCTGAGGTCGATCCCGTCTAAAAGTGGTGTACTTACTTGGAAAAACTTCAGAGCCATAGATCTTCGGCTTTAACCCAGTTTCTGTAAAGGCTATAATATGGGATGCAAAAAAAAACTATCAGAATAAAGTTTGCGGAGTTTGCTACGTAGCCCCCTGGTATTCTGATAGGTAAGTGTTAGTGACGATACTTGTTTTTTGGGTTAGAGGACGAAGAAAAGGTGGAAGGTTGGTCCATGGTTCTGATATCGGGTAGTTTTACTCCCGCTGGTTTTAACACTTTTTTCTTCACAAAACTAGGCTGATGTTCTTGGACGAAAATATTCTCTGGCCAAAAACTGGGTGAAGAAATCGTCTTTAACATCAGCGCGGGCACACGAATCTTGAAAGAAGACGTGCGCCGTGTATAATTATACATTCAGCCTTTATTTCGGCTTTTGTTTTGGCTTTGATATAAGCCGAGATATCAATCTCTGAAGTATCAGGGGCAAGCCGAGAAACAAATATATGTTTTGATGTAGGAATCACCTGTAAGGGTTTTGGTGTCGCAGGTACGAGAACTGCAGCATCAGTCGGTACCGGTGGTTCGGACTGTGGAATACCCTGGGTGACTCGGGGGTTTCGTTCACTAGGACCTTAGGCATCACTTGAAGCGATGCCATGGCAGACATATCGGACAATTGCTCATTTTCCCTGAGAAATTTGGCTGAGCAGGCTGAGACGGATCAGAAACAGCGGATTTCTTACGCTTAGGGGACTCATTTAGCAGCTGAAGGCCACTAAACTGAGTGTCAAGCGCACAGAGCTGGTCATTAATTTTACGAAAACCAGTGATCAGCTCTTTAAATCCATTCTTGGTCTGTCTCATGAACGACCTCATTTCGCCTTGAACAGAACGACAATTTCACAACAATAATGTATACCAGACCTACGGGATCCGAAACTGAGGCAGTGAACCCGGCACACATGGCGTGTACGACGTTTTCACATAGCCAGCAATGGATGGTAGGCTGGGATGAGGAAATGGTTTTGTTACAAGACTTCATAGAACAGACTAGTTTTTATTCTATATTTTTAATAAATAAAACAAAATAAAAAGTTAAAAAACACTATACCTTGAACAACTGTGCTAAATAGGAAGCCAAAGCGGGATCTTTGGAGAGTGTAAAGGAAAAATTCAGAGCTATGCTTGGAATTGAATTTAGACAAATTATAAATTCGCTTTCAAATGTACCACAGCACTCGCGAACCGATACGGCTTAGGTTAAAACTTAAGAGTCTCAATAGATTCGATTCACAAGTATGTAAGCACCGGTTTACTAATATTTATCATAAACGCAGTGCGCACAAAAAAAACAAGAGAAAGATAGAGAATAATAAAAATTTTAAGAGAGATTCAGATTAAGATAGGGATACTTGATGCCCATTGATAAAGTTGATTTGGATAAAGTGTGGCCTTGATTTTTTAGTTATTTTTAAATAAGTTTTATTTTGCAGTAACTGACGTTTCTACATGGTTCACAGTTACACAAGGTTCACAGTTACGCTTTTTTTTGGCCTGTTACTCAGATGTCCCCCCTTAACTGACCAAAAATTTAATCTGTAGTAAGTTTCAGCATTCTCTCTTCAAATCACGAAAGTTGGGTCATTTCCGATCGTTCAGTTACAGGGTGACAATAAATAACCCGGACAAACTTTGAAGCAATCTATTATAAATGTGTTATGATGCAGCCCTTAAATAAATGCATTTATCAATAGCTTGTACTTTTCTGAAAAATGTATATTTACATTTTTGTGATTCCCATCAATTTTATATTTGTTTCGGGATGTCTAACAATCGTTGTGCAATTTTAAAACTGTTTCAACAAGGAAATCGCCAATGCGACATTGTTCGTTTGCTTGGCATACCAAAACAAACGGTCTCTGACGCTATCCGGGGATTTAATGCGCTTGGCCATGAAGTCGACCGTCCCAGACGAGGCAGACCATGCACCGCTAACACTTTTAGAGTTCGCCAGATCGTGAAAAAGCGGATCACTCGGAATTGCAGAGTCTCGTCAGAAAAATAGCCCGTGAAATTGCAGTGAATCGAGAAAGTGTTTGGTTGATTGCAAAAAATGAACTTAATCTCAAGCACTACAAGCTACAAAAAGTGCATCTTCTTACGGATGACAATAAGCGCGTGAGACTCCAAAGATGCAGTCAGCTAAAGCGTCGGGCCGCAGGTCAAAAATGGGAGCGTATTTTCTTCACGGACGAGAAGATTTTCACCATCCAACAGGCGCACAATCACCCAAATGACAGAAGCTGGTCGATTGAAGCTACAGGTACCTCTGCAATAATCGAGCGCCGTCAATGTGAGCAGTCTTTAATGGTTTGGGGAGGACTATGCGCCACCGGTAAAACACCCCTTGTTTTCATCGATCATTTCATCGCTTTCATCGGTCAAAATCAATCAGGAAGTGTACCGCCGGGACATTTTGGAAACTGTTGTGCTTCCTTGGGTCCAGCAGCACTTCGGTGATGCGGAGTGGACGTTTCAACAGGATTCAGCGCCAGCCCATAGAGCCAAATTGACTTAGGCCTGGTGCAAAGCCAATTTTCCACACTTTATCACATCCAGTGAATGGCCACCTTACTCGCCAGATCTTAATCCGATGCACTACAGTGTGTCGTCTGTTTTGGAGTCCAGGGCATGTGCTAAACGCCACATAAGTTTGGAGGCGCTGAAGCAATCATTGCTCCGAGAATGGGATCGATTATCGGAAGAAGACCTGCGGCCCATTACGCTAAATTTCCAGAAACGTTTAAGGCTCTGCATCGCAGCCCAAGGAAGCCACTTTGAATCCGGCTGAATATATGTAAACACAATACTTATTTAATAGTTGTGTATCTGCATTTTTTCTCAAATACAGTTCAGTTCTCAAATACAAATACAGGGTTATTTATTGTCACCCTGTATATGGCAGCTATAGGATATAGTCGGCCGATCCTTACGAAATTCAGCATGTAGTATTTTGCCAAAAATAGCTCTCATGTAAAATTTCCAGTCGTTCCGACATATATTTTACTACTGCGTGCAAAGGAAAGAAGGATGTGTGCAAAGTTTCATGTCGATAGCTTTAAAACTGAGAGACTAGTTCGCGTAGAAACCGACAGACACACGGACAAACGGACAGATTTGGCCAAAAATGTTCTAGAGCATAACCTTTTAAAGAGTACGACAATAGAGGTGCAGAAACATAGATTTTTTTTTATACATCGATGTTAAAGTCGTGTTAAATTGGAATTGAGGGAATTATAGGGTTAACATTGACAATGTTTTCGCCTTTATTCGAGATCTTTAAAAATCCTATTTTGGTTTACAAATATCGGTTCCATACATTAGGTACATAAGGAAAATGCAATTTTATATATGTCGGAGAGGGCTCTAAGTTTTCCATGTTCTGTAAGGGAGCCAAAAACTACAGGTTCATGGGGTACTAGCGCCACCTAGCGGGAGGTAGCTGCTGCAAGTGGCAACATTTACCCTAATTTACCGGGAATCTGCAAGACTGCATTTGCGTTAACGTTGAGTCTTCCACGAATCCCAGCTCTAGCCCCGGCAGGAGGCCATTGCTAGACGCTCCATGCTTTCTTTTCGAGACCGTACTTTG